GGATTTCCTTATTGCACCACCAGCTACATGCCTGTTGTCTTCATTGTCATGGTGACATGGAGAAACTGGAGTGGGGGTGGTGAGGGGCTGCTTCTGGTCACATGAGAACTTAGTTTCTGTGAATCACTTGAAGGATGCCTCTGGTGGGTTTCAGTAGGTACCCAGTTACCATAGGTGCTCAATGAAATACTTGACTGAATATGCCATGAGGGCACATCTCATTCGTCAAATACATCGCCTTTAAACCCCAACTCTTCCTCTGTCACCACCGCAGAGGGGCAATTCCAGTTTCTTTGCCCGCAAATAATTCCTTCCTTCAATCCATGAGAACTTCAAGGAAATAAGGAACATGCTCCTTATTTTAAAAAATTCAAATAATGAAGTATGGGAGGTAAAATCCATCCCCACCTCTCCTAGCACACCTTCAGGGATTGGGTTTAAGAGACTCAGAAACTGCTATTATTTCAGGCACTGTGTTGGGACCACAAAAAATGAATACATTACTCTCTTGGCCCTGGAGGAGCTTACAACTGAGTGGGGAAATGAGATGTTTAAATAAAGAATTTCAATCTAGAAATAATATGTGTGATACGATAATAGTGGTGGAACAAAGTGCTGGGGGAATATAGAAGAATGAGCAATTAACTCAGCTCAGGGAGTCAGGGAAGCTTTCCTGGGGCGGGGGGTAATATTTCTCATTTCCAAGATGCCAATGGTATTCCAGAAGGTTCCCTAGGAGAATGTGATGACAATATCAGAGCTGTGTTTTCTTCATCTAGCTTATCAACTTTATGTGGGTCTTAACCAGTAACTTCCTTTAAGCCTTTGTTTCTAATGATTACAAACTTACACAGTGAAACCTGTGAGAGCCAGAACTCGTTGGGTTTCTAGGTCTCGAAAGTTTTCTGCCTTTGTCAGGGTTTGGTCTTAACACCACTTTTTTGGATCGCTCAGTTTAGTGGAAAATATTTGAGTTTTCTTTCTCTAACATGTTTCCGCCTGACACAGGTTCCGGCTTTCACAGGTTTTATTTTACATGTTCATTAGAGAAACTTTAGAAAATGTAAGCAGAAAGACAAACATGACATGCAAGCCAGTGATCACCATGGTCAATATTATCAGATCTGTTTTAGAGTATTTTCTTCTGCTTTTACTGTACTTGTCAGCCGTATCGATGTGTTTCTATAAAAAAAACCCATTGCTGTCAAGTTGATTCTGACTCATAGCAACCCTATAGGACAGAGTAGAACTGCCCCATAGGGTTTCCAAGGCTGTAATCTTTACGGAAGTGGACTGCCACATCTTTCTCCTACGGAGCAGCTGGTGGGTTTGAACCGCCAACCTTCCGGTTAACAGCCAAGTGCTTAAGCACTGTGCCACCAGAGCTCCTTGTTTCTGTAATAGCCATCAGAATTTTATTTTTTTAAATTTGCTCTACTGTTTTAAAGAATTTAGAT